TTGTATCCTAAACATTATAATTTTATGAAAATAATTTTAATTTCAAAATAATTTTTTTTACTAAACTTAATTTTAATCAACTAACTTTATAATTTTTAGATAGAACTATGTGATTTTGAGTTCTTTATTGCACTTGGGGATACGTAAAAGCGGGAAGTAGACCTTTCAAGTCAAAATAATTTTCAAAATAAATTTTTCTTTTTTTTAAGATACCGAGTTAACATTTTAATAAATATTTTTTTTAAAAATAAAAATAATTAATGTTTTGGAGTTAAATAAATATTTTTCAAAATTAAAATGAATTTGCACAATTAATTTTAGGTAACAGTTTTTAAACGGACGTTGTAGGGTGTTAATATCTTCCCTACATATAAATGACTCCCAAACTCATTATTTATTTCAAAGATCATATTATTTTAAAGTTTTTTTAAAGTTTTCTTAAAATAAACTTTGGTGGCGACTCCTCTAATTTTTAAAAAAATATTTGTATTTTTGAAAGATATTTTTCTTAAACACAGTTTTTACCGTACCATTGTGACCGACTGATTGTGACAATATTTTTTCTTTGTTCAAACTCAATAGAACCACTACGTATTTGGTGGTATATTATTCTTTTATTTTAACATTAAATATAAAATTAATTTTATTATAATTAAAGAAATATTATAGAACATTACAGCATTACTACATCACTCATATACGTGTTTTATGCCATCAACAACAACATGACTATTAAGATTTGTCAACACATTGTCATCACGTTATAAAATATTTGCTTTAATCCTTTTATTAGAAGGCATTTTGAAGAAAAAGTTAAATATTCAACGTATGGATTGACTACATTTTTAATAAAAATGTAAAATAATTTAATGCAAGTTGAGATTAATTGTTAAAACATTAAACAATGTTATACTCATTAAAGAAAACAAGTAGAATAAAAACTAAAATAACCTAAATTTATAAGATTTGCTGAGACAAGCTTTTTTATTATTCTAAAATATTATTCTTTTTCATAAATTTCTAAAATATTATTAATTTCGAAAATCTAGAAACTTACAAATATTTTTTAGAACTTTTCAGAAACTACTGAAATTGAAATTTAAAGAGAATATTCACATTTCAATTTAAAGTATAAAAAGCATGCAACTCATACGTTTTGTGTAGGATAGACTTCCCACCGCAATACCTAGGACAAACATTGGAACTTTAACATGCACATGGGTACAAGTAGTTGCTAGCTCCCATATAGTCTTCACATTCTTTTATTTAACTAAGCACATGTATGACATCAACTTATTAATGATAAAAATATAAGTCCAAAGTTTATCTTTACCTTAAAAAAATATCGGTAGAACCAATTATTGTTAAGAATCTTTGGAGGAACATGTGTTCCATCATGTTGTTTCAAAAATGTCTTATCTATCAAAGCTTATAATACTCTGCCAAAATGATCACTGATAGTCTCCTTAGAGAATCAAAAGAAATTAAATGTTTATCAACTCGTTTACAATTCTTCAATGGGATGTCTGTTCAGATTTAAATAATTAAATGTTTTTTCATAATACTAATATTCTTAAAGCATCCAACTAACAAAATAACCTATTCACCGTATTGACACAATTAACTTGCTAAAGTCCACGTGTTTATGTGACACGTGATCCATAATTTTTTTTCTTTTCTAAAGCTAATTTTATTAAAAAGGAATTAAATCATATTTTGAAGAATAATAGATTGTATTTTTATTTTTATTTTTTGTAAAAAGAAAATAAAGAATACTGTACATTTATTCATAAATTGTAATTTTATAAAGTCTATTTGAAAGAACATTTCAACTTAATTGAATCATCCATTATATTCATAATATTTTTTTAATACAAAACACTATTGATTTTTCTGAGTTGTTTCTAGGTAAAAAATAGTAGAAAGTTAACTGTTTATCTGAAATTTGACATTGTGGTTCATTTAAAAGCATTAGAATAAAATTATTTTTTCTAATTATAAATTGGAAGCCCTGAAAGTATTAAAAGTGATTAAATTGAAAACATAACAAGCACTCACAACTCGTGCTAAAATATTATGTTTCTCATTCCTTATTTAGTACTCTAAACCCTTCTTAGTCTAAACTTGCTCTTTCTTACAAGATGACTGAAAACTATTACTTTGGATGATAGTTTATTTTTTATTGCATAGGAGAAGATTAGGCTTAAGAGAGATTATTTGTTTTAAGTTGTTCTATGAGATTTATTATATGATACTTAATATTTATAGATTGGGTTAAGCACCCTAGTACTTAATTAATGAAATTTATATGTTTATAAAAAAAAATTGTCAAAGTTGATAAACTGACTATTTTTAGAAGTTTTGAGTGAACAAAAAGTTATATAAAAGGGTTATTTATGTGTCTTAACTCACCAAGAACTTGGAATAATATATGACATGAGTTGTATGAGTGTCAGAGAGCTGTAACTGTTAAAAAATAATTTATTACTGATACTTTAAATAAAAAGAAAGTGGACCAATTCATTTTTTAATATATTTTTTATTATTAACTAAAATTTATTAAAAATTATAAAAATGATATGAGTTTTATTCTCTAACTTTTAATTTAATATTTTTAGAATTTTTTTAATAAGAGAGAGTTTGAGGAGAGGAGAGAGAAAAACAAATTTTATATTTTAAATAAGTATATTTAAAATTAATATTTTTCAAATAAAAGATATAAATTAATATATCAACATAAATTTAATATATTTATTATACAATTATCATCATAAATAATGTATATAATTATTTTAATTTAAAATTAAAACTATATTTTTTCCTTCTTTTTCTTTCAAAATTATCTTCTAAACATACTCTTAGAAATTGTGTTGTTGACCTTCCTCTTAAAATACAAGTATTCATGCTTAAACGGTTCAAGTCTAATGATTCGACAACCTCTGTGCTTTTCTTTATATAGCATTCCCCACTACTTATCGCTTGTTATGTTCTGCTTAGGATTTCATTTTATGCTCTCTTCAACATTACATATGTTACTTAGAACAACTTTATTGGGGTACCAAATTGAGTTACCCATCTCAAATTTTGCAAAATGTTGTCCCTGTGTAAGATGTTGTATATTGTAGAAACAACGTTTTAAAATGAAAAACATGAACTCTAATTATTTTTTGTTTACTAATATAAAAGAGACACGGTTGCACCAGTAAAGTTGCCCTAAGCTGAAGCAGAAAATAAAATGCTACGAGTCGTTAATTAGAATAAGAAGATCAATGTAGTGCTGAAGTCATTGAACTGTAATGAAAATTAATTTTTTGAAGTAATGTTTCCTCGTGTACTGAAGTTATAATAATTGATATTTCTTTTATTGAGAGTTGGGCTACAAAATGAGTTACATTGGATTAAGGTGTAATGTGTGAAAAACCAATGGATGAATAAAGCTATAAAAGGAGAAAAGGGTTACCATAAGTTCAATGTTGATTGAGTAAAAGCTGCCATAAATGTTGGCTCTTAAAGGCGAAGCAATGTTATGAGTCTCATTAACAAAATAAAATGTTGAATGTGGTACATAGCTTCAAGGTTCTTCCACCTAAAATTTTAGATGCTAAAGATGAATTAGTAGCTATAAAGGAGAGTTATTTATAATTTGTAAGAGTGAACATTATTTGCTTCATTACATAGAGTGGATAACTGAAGTGCTGATTTTATTCCCAAATTCCAGAGGAAGGGAGTGTATTGGGTATATGATTTGAAAAAATGGAGAATGTTTAAAAGAGATAGAGATTGGGTCCAACATTGAAGGATTCATATGGTTGGTGTGCGTGTGAGTAAATTTGAAAAAGTTATAGGATTGATATCTTATTCATGTCATTCATCTCAGAAGCTCAATGGTTCCTTTTTATATATTCTCTGTTGCCTTCCTTTTTCCTTTAGAACTTGGTTTTAGTTTTTAACCACTAACCAATGTGAAATAGTAGTAAAATCATGTAGATATTTGTTTTCGTTTTGAGGGGATATGAATGAAGGAAAATCCCCACAAACAGACAAAGTTGTGGATCAGAAGAAAGAGTAACATTCAACCATGCAAGGATTTGAAAATATCCGATAAAGAATAATCTGGAACTAACATCTTGAAACCAAAATGCTATACCAAACTGAGAAACTTTGCAATTTCATCTAAACACTAACACTTTTTCAGTCACGAACTTCCACACAAAAAACCTATTGCCTATTTCTTTTGTTGGCAGTGGATATTCTCATATGTATGTCAGATTAAATAATGAGAGTAGCACTCTTTGCACTCGTTGATTAATGCATGACTTCTAATTTTGTGCTTTATAATTGTTATCTCATGCAATGCACTTTTAAGATAAGGTTGTTGCATCGTTTGGTTGAGTGCATCGATTTACTGATGACAAAAGCCATTTGTGGATCTTATTTTTGAAAATGTATGCTTGGCCATTAATCAACCTAGCATGATAAGCCCCATCACCCTCCCTACCACCCCTTGCATGCCATATACACATTTTGCTTATCTACCTTGCCACTGTAACTTCTAAACAAATCTAGCATAAAAAAATTACTCCACTGAAAATTGAGTATTACTAGAAGGATTTACCAATGTAATGGTAAAGAGAGAACCATATTTTCAGCTACCCAACAAAAGGGATAAGAGTGTCAGTTGTTATGGTTCTCTTGATTTTTTCCCATAAAAATTCACCTTTACCTCTAAAATATATTATTTAAAGTATTACTATAGAAAAGGGACAAAGGGTGTTCACTTAACTCATACATGAGAAATTATGGTCACAAAAATATGTGTTAGGCCAATATGGAATGGGGGCATGAGGCAAACCACTCACAAATAATATCAATTCCACCACCATCACACATTTACGTTCCTCCAAGGAAGAGATAAGATAATGGAGTTTCTTCCACGTGGCACTTCATAATGGTACCAAACGATAAGGCTACCATTCAAAATTTTTCTCTCTCGTGTGGCCAATATGTTGTAATGTCATCACTTTTACAATCCAATGGTTCTAATTTGTGAGCAACCAATCCCCTCTATTCCACACCATTGGATTAGTAATGCACAAATCAAACCATTATATATACCAAGTATGAGAAGAAGCTTTGCAATCTAGCAACAGAAGCACAAGAAGAAGAAAGGGAGAAAGAAATGGCCTCCTCAATGATCTCTTCCCCAGCTGTTACCACCGTTAACCGTGCCTCTCCGGCACAGGCTAGCATGGTGGCTCCATTCTCTGGCCTCAAGTCCATGGCTGGTTTCCCAGGTGCCAGAAAGGCCAACAATGACATTACCTCTATTGCAAGCAATGGTGGAAGAGTGCAATGCATGCAGGTAATTAAGACAAACACCATATACAAAATATGCATCAATATTTTTAAATTAAAATTCATGTATGTTACACATAATTTATGTACCATAAGGTTACTTAACATGTTAGTTAGTCATTGCTAAATGTGCACAAGTACAAGTTTGCTAACCCCTTCACTCAATTTTTATGCAAATCACTAGGTGTGGCCTACACAAGGCAAGAAGAAGTTCGAGACTCTCTCCTACCTGCCACCCCTCACTCAAGAACAATTGGCAAAGGAAATAGATTACCTTCTTAGGAAGGGATGGGTTCCTTGCTTGGAATTCGAGTTGGAGGTCAATTTACTTGCTTACCCTTTTGGTTAAATTCTTAGTTTTCACTAGTGTTAGAATGTGTTTGATTTCATGTTTTAATAGTCATGAATTACTTCAACACCAATAGTTGTAACTTTTGTGTTGGTTTCGCGATTAAAGATTCTTAAACGTGTTTCTAAGCACACTGGTTCAACTTATTGTATAGAAACAATTGTTTTGAAGTGATTATTTTGCAAAATTGAAATGTTTTCCAAGAAGCACATGGTTATGAATGTTGATGGTTGATCTGTTTGTTTCATTTGGGGTGTGTGTGTGTGTGTGTTGTTTATAGCACGGATTTGTGTACCGTGAGAACCACAGGTCACCTGGATACTATGATGGACGCTACTGGACCATGTGGAAGCTGCCTATGTTTGGCTGCACTGACTCTGTTCAAGTGTTGAAGGAGCTTGATGAGGCTAAGAAGGCGTACCCCAATGGATTCATCCGAATCATCGGATTCGACAATGTTCGCCAAGTGCAGTGCATCAGCTTCATTGCCTACAAGCCAGCAGGCTACTAAATTTGATGAAGAAAAGATTTGCAAATCATTTGTAGCCACCTCACTTTGTTTGTACTTAAACCAATTTCCCATTTGTTTTTGCTTTTGGAGATTTCATCATCCTGTATTTTTGGTTTCTGTTTTCGGATTTCCAATGGAAATGAATGGATGAGAACTAATGAATAAGTTGTTGTTGTTGCTTTGTTTCCAAATCACTTCAACAACCCCCTGTCCTTGGATTTCCCTCTACTGGGTTGCAATTGAATTCTTCACTAAATTGAACTTATTTGTGTCACTAAATGATGGTTAATATATGAACTCATTATGTTGTGTTATTCAAGTCCACAGCATAGTTGAGTTTGGCCTTTACTTTGCCACACATTTGATGTATAAATGTTCATATAATTAGATCCCTTCAAGAAAGGAAGTTCATAATCATAACTTAATTTGAAAACAAACCGCTTCAAAGTTTAACTAAGGGTAAGTTTGTTATGAATCTAAGTAATAACTTGTACTAATGTCAGGAAACAACTGAACTTCCAAACCCAAGTTTGGAAACTCAGATACTTGTATAGTATATAGCTTAGCTTGCCTTAATAGTACAAAACCTTTGTTATTTTTTAATGGGACACCTCTTCATTACCATTCTTTTAATTCTAAATAACAAAACATAAAAAAAAATTAAAAAAAAAAACTACACTCCATAAAACATTAACGATTAATATATGCAAGACTTAAGGGTTGGTATGTGCAAAGAAAGAGGAAGCAAATTCAAAGTTTTGCTGGCTTCATGAACATTACTTTCCAAGGAATAACCACTAAGGAACACAACCATTTTATTTATGCCATTTCTCACTCTCCTCACTGCAATTTACAAATCATAATTTGGAAATGGCACAAAATCAAGCACAATCGGATTGGTCATCTCTAGTGTTACCCAAAAGTACAATTTTTCTAGAATAGTCAGAATCTGATCCTTAGCTAAACAATTAATCTGAAGATGAATCTCATATGTTTTGTTTTCAATTTGTTGGTAGTCATGGATTAGCAATTGATATATCATTTAGCGGTTCTGAATTATGACTAGTGATTGAATTTCGATACCCTTTAGGTTGCATTAACACTGGACCCACTAGTGATAGCAACATCTGTGAACAAGGTTATTTTAAGATAAAGAAACAGATAAGAAGTTTCACCTCACCTCACCTCCTTTACTCACACGACCACACCATGCATCTCAAACATGACAAAGTCCACAATCTTAGTGGATATGAATATACAAGTCAGTAGGATTTTTTTTTCAAATATTCATTTGTATTTTCTTTATTTCATTGGTCACAGACATACTGACACAAAAAATCAATAATATAGTTTCGTTCCTTTCCATTATCCTTAGATGCAGGAGGATCTATTACAACTCTTATGTATTTATATTGTCATTCCTATTTAAAGAGTTTTAATAATTTAGAAAAGTTTTATAAATTTTAACTAAATCTGAATGACACAGACAATAGACATTCCTTTGTTATATAGTATATACATGGAAATATAATCTTGAAAATGGAATATTATATAGGACAAGCTATAATTGCCTTCCATTGTAGTAAGGTATGTTAAATGCAAAAAAAAATAAAAAACAAGTAAAGAGATTTTTTTTAATATTACAACTTGGAAGAGTTATATGGATATAACCTTATCTCCTCAGAAGTCATAACAACCTTACTATTCCATCAAGATTTCAAAAATAAAATACAATAATGCTTTAAAATGTCTCATCCGTTCTAACTTCTCTGACACGATATTCTTTTTTCTTTCAAAAGTTTTCAAATAAGTTCTATGACATATCAGCACACTTGTTTTCAAAAGTTTTCAAAGAAGTTTTAAATTTTTCCAAAATTTTGGGAAGAAAAGGGATTTAAAAATTGTTATTTTGATAGGATAAGTACCATATAATTGTGCGGTCTATACTAACTGATGAGTCCAGGCATTGTGACTCTGTCATAGCCAAAACGGAAAACAAAAACAAGTCAATTTCATAGCATATCTGAGGTTGAGGAATGAGTAACGTGATATGATTTTTATTTGCTTGGTTGTTTCCATTACATTTTGTGAGTGGAAGGTTCAATAGCTAGCTATAAAAAGATTCTAAACAGATAACAACATACTAGCAATTTGTTGTTTTTCTCTCAACCTATTATAGGTTCATATATCGTAGATTTTATAAGTTTAAGCTACAGAAAATACTTCATAAATTAAATATGAAAATAGCTTTCAGTATGGAGTAAATACTCAGTGCTTCAACCTGAGAGTACATTGCCTAAGTGCTTATATGAGAAATGTTATGTTAAGGGGCTTGAGTCTCTCTCAATTTGCTTTTGGTGTGTGCCAAAGGAAAACTTATTACCTAAGTGTACTCTTAAGGGTGAGATATTTATATGGGACAAAACTTAGATTCTTTATCTTTGTAACAGTAACAATATTCATACACCTTCACATAATTTCTCTCTCTCTCTTTCTCCTTCACATAAGTGAAATTTTTTTTAAAAAAAATCTAAAACAATCAAAATTTGTGTGCAAGCCCCATTCAAGAGTGTGAAAGAAAGTGTGTTTAAGTTTAATTCGGCTATTTATCTAAAGTGTCTTGAACTAATTAAACTCGTGACTTTCTCACTTATATATCATTTAACTTGTTACTAACCTATCAACATGGGATTTTATTATCTACCAATTATATCTAAGGATTATGTTTTTAGTGGAATAAGTGCAGTACTTTCCGATCCTTTGTACTCAACTAAGTGTGGTCTCTATGTGTACTTAAGAATTTCTGCAGCTCCTGCACAAGAAAGAAAATAAACAAATCAAAGATCAGGGAAGCAAGGCATAGCCACTTGCTTGTGATGGGACCAAAACAAAACAAAAGGGACCATTATTGTTAGGGCAATAAGATAAGGACTGAATTGTATGTGTTAGGCTCAGCTGCAGGCTTAAAAAGTGTGGCGCAGGTGAAAACAAGGGAAGTGGAGAAAATGAAGACCAATGTGATGTTCAAACAATGTATCAATATCAATCAATGGCAATGTTGTCTTTCAAAGATGTGTCTCTCTCGTGGGCCTTGCCATGTTATGAAGGCCAACCAGGCTTATCATTTGTATAGGTTTTTAGGGTTGACTGGATCTCAAAGTCCCCAATAGCATGCATGGGCCTAGAGATGATTTTTTCTTTTTTTCAGTGTGTGTGGAATGGGATTGTAATTTATGTATTTAATCTTTTCCTTTTTTATGTTGAACAAAATAAATCTTGTCCTTTTATAGACCTTAAGAAATTCTGTTTATTTTTTTAGGCTATTATTTCCATGGTCATTAATTAGATATTTGGAAGAAAGAAAATATTTTTTTGGACTTCATTAGAAGGTATCCCCTCTGAAGAGTATCTGTCAAGTGAAAAAGTACTAGTTTATCAAATTTGATTCATGATTAGCTATATTTATAAAGTATTCTAATTTAAATAAAGAACAGATAAAGCATCACTTTCTTATTTTAGATGTTTTTTATTTCAAAAGAGTTTAATCCATCGTTTAAATTTTACTTAGAATCTCAAATAATCCATTAGATAATGAAAAATAAGAAGAAGAAGAATCTTAATGAAACTGGAGAACTAGATTCTTCAAACTTGCCCATTCCATCTACTTCATTGATATCAATTTCCTATCATTAAACATCAAAAGAAAAGAAAAGATCAAATTGACCTTGATTGTACAATCCACCCATCAATCATTTTATGCTCACATATTACTTGTTCCAAGTCACTTTAATTTGCTTAAATAATATCTCTACTTTTGTCCCCTCTCCTTGAAATAATGGGGTCATTCTAACCTGCACTCATTATGTTTGTGAATGTCTGTACTCCCAGATTTTTTACTTGTTCTCAATTTTAGGATTTTTAAAATTAATCTCTACATTTTTAAATATTACATTTAGATCTAATGACTCTTTTTTTTCATCACTGTTTCCTCCACCATGTTACTATAATCATCATTTGTAACTATCACTATTTGTTATCATCGTCAAATTGGTTTCTTCTTGATAATTTTTTATTAAAATTAATGACGTTGTAAAAAAGAAGGATCTTGTCAATTCATTTTGACAACGCATCGATGCCTATTCAGTGATGATATCATAAAATTGGTCAATGTTAAAGATAATTTCATTTGATCAAATCTTTATAGATCTTGATAAAAGAAATCCGTTGACACTGTAACTACAATAAATCATGTCACATTGAACAAAATTGCTAACTTTTGAGCATCAAAATTTGTCTTTTTTGACGTAGTGTGCTTAATTTGTAAATTCACTTTGTGTTTTTTTTTTTTTTTAGTATTACCATCTTTTGTATATTTATTAGTAAATTTCACAAATCATTTTGATTAAGACACAGGTCGCACGAGTCATAACTCATAAACAAATCCATCTATATGACATCTCTTTTACAAGCTTTTGTTATTTGTTAAAAAAGTGTTATATAAGGGCATGGATTGAACATGGATCAACATTTGATAAGATGTCCACGTTGATTAAGAATATAGCTAAAATTTTTATATAAGGGTATCTTACTCCTATAAATTAGTTTTAAAGAGTAAATTATTAAACAATTTTTTTAATTTTAATTAACAAATTTTTGTCAAATCTTACAAATTTCACATTCAATTCTCTTTTATGCTTAATTTTCTAATAACATTCTTGCCTTTGATTTATGGGCATGATTCACAAAATAATTGAGTCAAAAAAGTGTAAACGAATCTATACTATAGGTTTTTGAGTCATTATTGGTGAAAATGGACGTTTAAAGAGTAGACGAGAAGAATGAATTTTAAAAAAAAAATGTACACAATGTTTCAAAACTTAGATTAGTATTTTTCTTGTAAGCTTAAATCACACCTACTAATAACAAAACTTTAGGGCAATTTGGATCAATGATAATTTTTTGTTCATGATACAATGAAAATGGTTGAGTATGGGTTCATATTCTCAAAAACTCAGGCCATGAAAATAATGATATTTACATAATAATTTTATTTTTATCTCGTGTCATTGAAAGATAAAAGCAAATAAATTTGTGAATGAATTTAAAAAAAAAAAATTTAAAGTGTATTATCAAAGAATGACCCTATTTATAAATTATAAATATTTTGTCCATTTATAAAAAGTTAGGTTAATTTAATTGATATCATGTTATAAAAAGTCACGTCATTTTAAGTAGTAGTTATTTAATAAATACTCACAATATTTCACTTGATATCTTATAAGAGTCATTTCTATCTTCACCACTAAACATAACATATAAATTTATATCTATTTATATGTAAACAGTAATGTCCTTTCACTCGATGATACATCCTTTAATTTACATATTGATAATCAATTTGTATGAAGTAGTATAACTCCTAGATTGAATCAAGTTAACTTTTTAACTTAAATTTTTTTTTAAAATTAAATGAATCAGTAATTTTATTTTAAGTGAAATAAGACAACTTTTCAATACAAAATATACAATAAGTCAACTCTCCATCTAAATAAATTGCCCTGATACAATATAATCAAGAGTTTAAAATTAAGAAAATGATCGTTGACAACAAATTGAAATGAAATGCATGCATGCATGTTGAAAATCAAATTACTGCCAACTATCAAATGGGCCAAAAATAAATTTTAAAAAATGTATATTTTATATTATAATAATTTTCTTAAAGTGTAGAATAGCCTTTAAGTGAGTCACGTTTCATTAACTAAATGGATAATATTAATGGGTAAGAACATATCTGCATCAATTACCATACTAGAAGAGACATGTTACCTCTCTCGTGGGGTACAAAGCAAATAATAACTAAGAAAAGTGAAGTTAGATTGTGATTTAACAAAAACAGCAACAAACATTGCTCAATGTTTCAGCAATAGTCGAAATTTGTGGTTGACTTACAAACAATCGTTCAGATGAGTCAGCAACAAATTATCATTAAAAAATGAAGTGAAAGCTTCTCTTCCTTAGAAATGTGTTTAAATATTTTTAAATAATAAAAAATTATATATTTATATTAACTTTTTTAAATAAGGATTTGTCATTTTTATATGCTTAAATTCAGCTATTAAACATATGAGATCAAAAAAATCGTATTAGCTATTAAAAAAATGGCATTTTTTTCAGTCACCACAGAAAAAAGGCATCAAATTCACCACCATCAACTAGAACTCCCTTGTCAACGCAAATATAATATATTTTGAGCAATTTATATTTAATAATTAACACAAGAAAATATAAATAACGATCCAATAATGACATATTTCTTTAATTACATTCTTTAACACATTTCAACCTTCTAAAAATTGATTTTTAGAAAAAGTAAAACATTTTAAAAATATAATCTAATAACAAAAACAAAAAAAAATTGTTACAAATGTTTTACTAGCATTCCTATTACTAATTCTTTTTAATGCGAATATTAACATTACAATCTTCTGCTACGACTGATATCTAATTAAAATAGTATTTGACCCAACTTATTTTAAGTATTTTCTCCTTAAAATAAAATTTTAAAAGAAGACCTAACAATAAAAATAGCCTTTTTTAATAAATCAAAGGTAAAAAAATAAACATAAACTTAGAATAAGGGGGCAAACAAATGGCATTTCTCATTAGAAATACCAGTTTAATTTCATTAAATACAAATACTTTGAAATTTAGATAAACATATTTACAAGGATGATAAGCAAAATCACCAACTCTCTATACAGGACATTCTCGAGGTGATGACCTAAAAAAATTAGAAGACACTCAGAACAAACCTCCTTATATTACAAAAAGAACATGCTTTTTACATATCAAACCTTCTCAAGAACACAAGGTTTGCTTTTTCAGCATTTTCCTTAAACTACTCAAAGATTTTTCTTCCTAGTTATGTCAAGTCATTTTTATAACTGGTCGTCTCACTTAGCTTCCTCTATGTACACTTTTCTGATTGGAGTTTAAGCAACAGCAGGGATCCTAGAATTCTGGCGATCCCTGCCAAGACAATCAAATCCTTCTACTCTAACTGCAGCCGGTTTAAGTCCAAAACTCATCCTAACACATCCCCCTTTGCGTGATGCTGACGACGGAGACAGTAAACCTGATGGCGATGAAACTGTCAATGTCGGAATCTGCTTTTCGTCTCCAAATCGAGCATCCTGGACCAAGGGATTTGCAGCTCGGACCGGAGGAGACCCACAAAAAAATGGAGGAGATGAGGCTACCTGATTTGCAAATTCATCTCCATGACTCTCCTGTTGAAATCAAGATACCAATTGAGAAGTCAATGTTAGATAAGTTAGAAAACATCCACTACACCAAAATCTCAGTTTGAAATTTATTAAAATGATGCCTCAATCATAACCAATTCTTCATACAAGACTATTAGCATGTTTGGATTCACGTTTGAATGGGTATGAATTCATGTTAACTTCAAAGCTACTAGTTGTAAGTAACTTCTATGTTGGATCCATGTTCATGGAAATTTCAGCATTTCCACATCGAAACCACTATACAAGGTTCAACTAGATCAAAACATTGTATACCTTAGAGAAACAAATCATACATTATACCAAAAAAATTACAAATTACTAGGATACAAAGACATTTTATGTTCCTAGGTCTAAACATAAATCAGAAGATTAGTAATAAAGTCATGACATGATTTACCTTTTTGAACATAATGTCTAGTAGCTCTGCCCCAGCTTTTGAATCAGAACCCTCAGCCTGTTGACTACAAAAAAAAATAAGGGAAACACACAACAGATCAGATCTTCAAATGCTTCCAAAACAAAATAATATCATCAAAACTCAAAAAGGAAGCCATGGATTCAAATAATTACTTGAAATGCCATCTTAAGGGCCTCGCAGGCGTGTTAGATAACACCCCGACTCGGCGCGGCTTAGGGCATATGACAGGCTCCTTCTGATCGGCCAAGTTCACAGAACCTCTCATCTCTTCACAGGCTGCAAAGGCGTTCTGCTGAAGACTATAACAGTTCATCTTCAACAACGGTTTTATTCCACAGAAGAACGCCTACAAAGACAAAATTTCACAAGCTGATACTCAGAATGTCACATATATTATGCTTTGACAGCATATATTCTAAAAAATTGTAACACACGCCAACTCCAATTTGCAAACAGATCCGTTCACCCTAGAAAAAGGTCACATGTATGTGATAATGGAACTTTGTTATTCACAAAGAAATTAAGAGCATATTCTCAAAATTTGCTACAATCCAACACCAATTGCAAAGAGATCCATTCACCCTCAACAGACAACACAACTTTGCAAAGAAATTCCACAACCCATTTCACCCTTCCATAATTTTCCAAATCCTACAGGTAATTTTCACAAATCAACACCAGATCTGAGCTCAAACCTTGAAAGTCCTCAAATTTTTTTCCCGGTCACTAAGACCCTTGACTACACACCCCAAAAAAAAACAATTTTTCATTCAAGTTAACCCCCAAAAACATCAATTTCTCCATTTTCAAAAAGCAACAAGACCCAGAACCCAAGAAGGGAAATTTCAAACAAATCTTCAATTACCACAGAAAAAAAACAATTTTTATAACAAACAGTTAAAAAAAAGGCAAGAAAACAAAGGTAGATTAACATTAGGGCAGATCTGTGCTATGAAACATGTCATGTTTGATAATCAAAAGCAAGAAGACATCTTTGCTAAAATTTGAAGAAAACGATGATGATGGGAACTGAGTCAGATCTATAACAAGAACATTCTAGAGAGAGGGAGAAACCTTGGGAGAGAATCCTGAAAAAGGAAGAATACAGGGAGCTGGTAGCTACGAGGAAGGAGAGAGGAAGACTACAATGGGACGTGGATTCAATATATAGTGAAGATATACGACGTTGTCTGGTTTGTCTAAAAAATGAAAAAAAAAAAAAAAAAAACGTTTAATTTGCTTCCACTTGTCATATATTCTTTTTTGACTGTACCCACCCCATGTTTATGCAAGAGGCTGATCTGCCCAATTAATCTGAAAATGAAAAAAAAATGAGCTCAAGTCAAAATGTAAAAAATAATCAAATTTTTTTTATATAATATTAGATTAAGTAAATTTTATTTACTCAAGTAATTTATGTTTAAGTAAATTATTTTAATTTAAAAATAATTTTTTGTTTAAATAAATCTCTCAATTACGAATTAATTAAAATTAAAATTATTTAAATTAAAAGTTATAGTGCTAATACCTAATGATAAACTAAATATCTAAGTCAAGCAGCTAAGAAAAAGTATAAAAAATGAGAATTGTTGAATAGCTATAATATTATAGATTCTTTTTTTTATTGAATTTATAACTTTTATTAGTATATTTATTTTTTGTGATTTATCAAATTAGAAGTTATTAAGAGAATTATTTTAACTTAAGTGAATTTTATATTTTTTTTCTTTCAATCTTTTTTTTTCTCATGTCTAATACTTTTTTCTCAACTTCTATATTCAATTCATTTTAACATTTATATTCAACTTTCTTTTTCCTTTCATCACCAATTTTCTCTTTTCTCTACTTCATGCCCAACTCTTGTTTTCTTTTTTCTACTCTCACATTACTTTATACTTATATTTTTTTTTTTCGTATCCAACTCTTCATACTTCTCACCCTCTACCACCACTCCTATGTCACGGCTCTTCTTATCTGTATTTATCCTTAGTCATATATTTCCTCACAGCTAGCTTACATATCCTGTACAAGTTTTGCTTAAACCAAAATAATTCACTTAAACAATTTATAAAATTCGCTCAAGCCAATAAAATTTGCTTAAGCTAATTTTGTATTAAAAAAAATTATTATTTTCTACATTTTCATTTAAGTAAATCCATTTTTGTTTAAGCTTGTCGCATCCAGTTCTCGCATTAACTCGAGCAGATTCACATCCTTCTATCTAAGGAATTACATGTATAATTAAATTTATTTTTTATAATCAACTTCAATTGATTTATATATAAAAAAATATTTTTATTTCTTAAATAATTATATTATCTTTTATACGAGAGTATTTAAGAAACAATATTAAATGTGATTTATCTTAATTTAAATCAATTTTTTATACTTTATTTTAATATTTTAAAAATTATATCATTTTAATATTTTTATTTTATTTTATTTTATAAGTCGTTGACCCACAGAAAAAGTCTCCGGTCAATGGATTGAGAGAGATTACAATTACATTATATTCACCCCTGTGGAGGCACCATACACCTGCAACGTTTAGAATTGACAAGGCAAACTAGGAAAACAGTACCTCTTTAGTATTCTTTGATTTAAAGTTTTTACATTATTCATGATTAATTTTTTGTTATTTAAAGCTTTTATAATTTTTTTAAATTTAAAACAAATATTTTAAATAATATATAATTATAATTCACCATTAGATTAATAAAAAATTATAATTATTAAAAGTTAATATAACTTACATTGATATAATTTTATTAGTATATATCCTAATATTTAATTATTCAGTGAATAATTATTCTAAAATTCTAAATTATTTGTACGAGATTGTATTTTTAAGAAATGCAAAGAATTAAAGAAAAATCTAAAAAGTTTGGATTTGTCTCAGAACATCACGAACCCAATTTTATTATCAAGATACCTAACTTAAGAACAAGCACATATACAATCACAATTATGATTGATTATGTTTAAGTGAATTTGTAGAAAAAATTTTATAGAAAAAGAAGTATAAAAATAAATAATTTTAAAAAAATTAAAAATAAATTTTTAAAAATTTTTTAAAAATGAAACAAAAGAAATTCAAAAAATGGAGAAATATAAGTTAATTTAATTTATAAAAAATATTTATTTTTTATACTTTTTTTTTCTATAAAATCTTCTTATAAAATTGACTTAAACAGTGGCGTAAGTTAAGCCTAATAGAGTACAGGGCTATAAGAAAACAAGAGACTGTTTGATTTTTTTTTTAAAAAAAATCAATTTTTTTATTTTTTTATTTTTTTATTTTTTATTTTTTATTTTTTTATTTTTAATTACAAATTGTGACTTTATCTCTACTTTGTTTCACTTGAAGAATGAAACTATAAAAACCAGAAAATTTATTTTCATTATTTTATTTATTATTTCATCATTTTTTATACAAATATTATTAAAAAATAGTAATATTCTCATAATTAAAGATAAAATAAATTCAAAACAACTTAAGCATGTAATAGCACTGAGATGCAATCATGAGGTCTCATTGGGACATGCAAAACCATGTATAATAATAATAAGAGATAACACTTATTATATCTTAGTTAAAATATTAAATGCAAAATTAATTATATTTAATATTTTAAAATTAATTTCATCAAAACTAATTTTATTGCACATCAAAACAAACGGACTTAAAGAATTTTTATTATCAATAAATACCTATCAATTGCATAGCTCTCCATTGTGACCAAGATTGCTAGAGACAAGCCTACCTAATCTTAGTTCATGCGTTTGAAATCATATTTAAAATAAAATGAAATAAAATTTCAGGTCCAAAAATATTCTTTCAATTCTGAATTTAAAATTAAAAAATAATAACCCATGATTAAAAAATTAAAAATATTATTATACATTTTTATCATAACTCGAAATAATTTTTTTAATATCTTATTCAATATTCTTAAGACATTTCTCCACAAGATGCTTTCAAATATGTAATTTGGATTTTTTTATAACACATAATAAATATCAACTCATTTTTAAACCATTAATTATTAATTTTTTTATACATTCATTTTATTCTATTATTTTGATAATAAGATGTTTATTTATTCTACTCAATTCTTTAATATTACAAATGTTTTTAGAATGAAATATAAATTTATTTTTATTAGTTTTAATAAGTTATTTATTTTATTTACTATAAAAAGGATAACAAATACTACCAAAATAATTATTTTGCAAATTTTGAAAAAAGAAAAGAAAAAGCAAGGCATGGATAGTAATGATTAAGATCTTGAATGGGCCTTGATTTTGAGAGACAAAAAGAGCATTTCACTGTTTAAGAATGAGTGGAATGATGATTATATATAGACCAAGAACTGTGTATCACCAAGCTACCCTCGACAAACTCATTTCTTGCATTGACTTTTATGTCAAAACGACGATGAATCTGAAAAAGTGGGAACACATTGAAGAAATACTCAGAGCATTTCTTCACTCTAGACTTTGATCAATGATTATGCATTTTCTCACACATGTTTTGATTTTTTGTCATGATTTATCTGTCTTGAATCCACTATCTTCGGGCTACGATGAAGACCACTGATATTCTCTTTTTTTTTTATTTAAAAAAAAATTGATTCTCTACGAACTTGTAAATTTTTTATTTAATTTTTAAAAAAATATTTTTATTTTTATTTAATCCTTTTATTAACTTATTTTATTATTTAATTGATGATGGTTGTTTCTTTAGTTTTTAAAAAGACAAATGAGTAAAAAATATTGCATTGGTAAATTTATTTTTAAAATTGTTTTCATCGTCAATTAACAAAGAGACACAAGTGGTAGATAATGAACAGTTTAAGATAGCTCAACAATTATGAAAGATTATAAAAGCTAAGAGGGTGAGGGAAAATGTAGATGACATGTTGAATTGTGACAGTAATACAAAATACAATATTTAATGTTTATCACTAGATTTATAATTTTTTCACTGTAATTAGTGGTTTAGAGCTATGTTTAGTGCTTGTATTAAGCAAAATGTGAATAACATATCGATATGGAAGTGTGATAGTAATAAAGAATATAATCAATGTGATAATAATAAAGATTCTTCAATACATTTATAACTATATTCATAAATTTTTCACTATAGTTAATAGTTTAGAGCTATGTTTAGTGGCATATATTATTTAATGCAGTTCTAGTAGAGAAGAATTTAACTAAACATGAATTGACAATTTTATTATAAGTTTATAGTTTGTGTTATATAGTAGATGAGGACGTATTACACTTTTTTTTTGCATTGTGATATCTGTATGAGATTGTAATATACGGTATTTTAATGGTTTGGTGTTAATATATATTTACCTGAAAATTTGCATAAGATATTACTGAGCATGTGTGAAATTAAATGTTAAAAAAAAAAGATGGAAGAGAATTGTAATTGCGTGATTTGCATAATTTAGTTTTAACAAAATAATATTTTTTTTAACGTGTACTAAATGTTAGTGAAATATTTGATTATATTAAGTATCGTTCTTAAAAGTGACTTCACACACCTTTGATTCAATTGTATATAGGAATTGGATTAATCCCTTGACATATATTGTTAACTCCTATGAGTTGAAGTACTTTTTTTTCCATCTTTAATCAAACTTTGATGCTTAACAAAAAAATATTAATTTATTATTTATTTTATAATATTTAAATTTTTTATATAATTTAATTGAAATGTAATGTAAATAATATATAAATATGATAATAACGATATCATATTTTATTTTTAATAAAGTTTAAATTTATAAAATTAAGACTTTTGAAAAGAATTATAAAATATGAAAAAATAAAAGTATAAACTAAACATCATTATCTATATTAACTTCATGTCATGAGTCAATTTGAACGATATATAGATAAATAGTAAACACTAAAATAAAAATTATTATAAAATATTGTATTTAAAAACTAACATTTAAAAGATTTCTCTAAAAAAAACTAAAATGAAATATCAAACCAAAATTTATACATTTTTAAAAGATTAAAATTTTAGTATTACTTAAGTAAAGTCTCAGGTTTAAGTCTTTGTGTATATAAAAAATCTCTACTACTAAACTCACTTACCATGTTCAGATGCGCGACCTGGATCGAATTTA